TTAGTTGTGTTGATCGTGTCATGCGAGTTATGTCCATTCAAACTTGATCCATGCACTACTAAAAGGGTTAGTAGCACATAGCGTCAACCCAGACATGACCTATTTATTTAATGTGTTACAAAGGCCATGCTCAAGTTAATCATGTTTTAAGCAAGTTATGTTAGTGTTAGGTCATTCGACATGATTAACTAAGCAAGTCGTGTTAAGGCTTAGAGATTTTTGACATAAACTTGAAATAATATGACACAACTATGATATGACACGATCTCATTGTCACTCCTACTTCATGCGCTGTTGGGGATTCTTATTTTGTAGTTAGCAATTTTTTGTGTTATATAGTACTTTCAAATATAGGCAATTGCTTGCGATTTCTTTTGTTGTTAATGTCTTCAGGAGTAATTACTAATATATATATATATATATATATATATAACAAGATAGATGTATTATATTTGTATCCGTATTTTACTTTTTGATATTTTTTCGTATCCTCGTATATGTAACATTCATATCTGTGTCTGAATCCATGCTTCCTAGGTTTCTATGATTCGGTTTTGTTCGCACTCACTTTTTTGAGATTTTAAATTTCGTAGACACTGATACGACTGAGATCCTCTTGACATGGTGTCACACTGTCACTTTTTTGAATTCTTAATGACTGACACCCTAATCCAGGGTCTCTTGATAAAAGGTGGTTTCTTGATTTTTTGAGCATATTCTCGTGAGTCTTTTTTTTTTTTGGAATCCTTGACTGATGATCCTTTTTGTTCAATTGTTCTCGCATCTTTGATGATATGGAAGGTTAAAGTACCTAGTACGGTGCAGATTTGTTCACTGACTATTATCCATGACAAGATCAATACCAATCATATGATTTAGAGGAAAAAACCTCAAGAATGTCTTTACCCGCAGTTATGTGTGCTATATCAATGTGGCAACAAAAATGTTGATCATTTATATTTACACTACCTTATTGCTTTCAGCTGAGAACTAAGTTGTTAGTTCATACTGAATTATTCCTCGAACCTCTTCTTCGATGTTTGTTGAGGACTTTACGAGATTTGGGAGCCATAATAAAGGGGTGAATATCTAGAATTATGCAATTCTTGTTATGGTTGGGGTCATCTGGTTGAAAAGGAATGTTCTAATATTTTGAAAATAGATGTCAGGTGGTGGAAGGATTATCGAGTCACATATTCCTCTTGGCCCCTTTTGCGCTCAAACCACTAAAGACTTTGAGGGAATTTCACTCTTTTGTATATTGGCTGGTCGAGAGCTGTATTATAGCTTGGCCCATTCTGGTGGAAATGTGGAAGTTTCATTGGACTGTTTTCTTGTTTTTTTGATGTGAGGCTTGGACAACTTGTGCACCCTCTTTCATTCTATGGTGTACTACATTTTTATCAGTAAAATGTCTGATTATTGTCAAAAACAAAAAGACTTATACCCAAAATTGTATGGGCCAGTGTATTGATGAAATCCTCCAGAAAATATTAGGACAACCACTTTGTGTTCTACATCAATTCATGGTATTCATCCCTTCCAACATCTTGAATTTACCGGAAATAACTTTTCATTTATTCATATTATTCAGCAACATTATTAAACCCATCATACAAAAATCAGAACATAGATAATCTATCAACATTGTAAGACAATGCATTTATAAAAAAAGGCAAACACAAAAATCTCAATAACAAACCAACAAACAAGCACTATAAACTGCGAAGAAATACAATTCAATCATCACTAGGACACAACACAATGATAAAATTTCCGTAAAACTGGGTTGGGGCTGTTTAGAAAATTACCAAAGCACATGTCTCGGGAAGCGAAAGCCATTGCTCAAAAAGCTTCTCTGCAACAAAAGGATTTGCCTTTATTGCCAAAGGAGACACCTCTGAAAGCTGCAACAATTCAGCGTCGAGACCCGCCACATCCCCCTTGAAATCAACTTCCATTTCTATACCGATAAATTCAGATCTCAACAGCACTAGGATCACAAAACAGAACCGATCAAAGCTTAGCTCATCACGCCAAGCGTTGAATCAATGCCCTTTGAATTTTCAAATTGGAGAATTTGAGGTGATCTGAGAAGGTATACAGAAGAATAAAACCTAGGATTGAATTCAACAGATTTCGTAGAAAGCCAATTTGCACAAGAAATTCGCACAGATGCGAGACTTCGAAACCCTTGTAGCAGAGCCAGAGAGACGCGCAATATTGGTATTTTATTTTATAAACTTGGTGCAATTTTTCAAATGATATTTTAACACGACCATATAAAAATTATTTTAACTATTCCCTCCATACTATTTCCACCATCTTTTTGAACCATAAATTTAAATTTTGCCTCATCTTTCTTTACTTTTTTTATTTAATAAATAATATTTTAATTCATTAATAGGTAATTTTTCAATGATATGAGAGTTTTAAAAAGATTAAAACTAAGGTCGGTCCAAGATGACCAAATGCCTATAGCGATAGATTTAAGTGAGGCTTTTTAAATTTTTTAATTGAATTTTTTTTTCACTTTTCAAAGTACAATATTTTTAACTAATAGTATGATTAATTTACTTAATCTTTTTTATAACACAATCAGTTTGAGGTAAAATCTAACTGTAACATCTAATTTAGTGCCTAAATTAAAAAACTTATTATCTCAGTGCTCGAAACAGAGAGAGAAAATAATGAGTTGATGATTGTTTCTAACTTTTATGGTTTACCACTATCAATACACAAAAATTAATAAAATATAATGAGTACATGTGTATTTGAATTAAATACTATCTCAAATTTACCAAATTTAATTTTTCATAACTCATATTCTATTATAATTATGAAAACTTTGATTGTTCCCAAAATTCTTTTTTCTAACTATTAAAAAAAAAGAAACAGTTAAAGTTCTATAGTTTTAGAATTTTGTGATTGAGATTGATTTTTTAGTGATAATTAGGAAATTAAATTTTTTGAAATTCATTTGATTAATATTTCACTTATAATTCCTTGAATAAAATAAAAATAATTATCAATATATATCTTAATCATATTGGAACCTTAATATAATTAAGAATTAGTTAGGTCAATTGGAATAAGATTTAATACACTACTCCATAATATATATTATCATGCATATTAAAATTCTAAAAAATTCAAGTTTTACTTAAAAATATACTAAAATATCTATTTTTACATCAAATCTTAGTACAATTTACAAAATTTATTGTGACTAAAGAATTAAATTGATGCAACATAAATTGATTTTAAAAAACAATATATACTATTATTTTTTATCTTAGAAATAAAAGAGTTCAACTTTTCAATAAAAAAAATAATACATATATATAGACATAATATTATCTTTGCATATGAGATAAGTAATATTATATTAATAGAGTTTTTGAAGATTTTTTGAATAATTTAATAGGAAAAATAAGGGCAAAAAGATGTATTTTGAATAACTTTTTTAAAGTACTTTTAAAAATTATTTTTCATAAATCTTTTTTAAAAAAATAGTGTTTGAAATCGCCTCACCACCACCTTTACCATCACCATGCCCCACACCACCGCCACCGCCACCATCGTTGCCCGTCGCCGTCGCCACCCCCACCACCACCGCTGTTGCCGTCGCCACCACTATTACTGTCGTCGCTACTGGCACCATTGTCATTGTCACCCACCACCTCTCACTTCTATTACAATCGATGTTTAAATTCATTTATTTCTCATTTATATTTGTGATTTGATTTTGGATATGAATACAAATATGTTTATTGTTTACCATTTTTTATTACTCTGTGCTTTCAGACACAAACAATAACTAGTGTATTATTATCACAGTAAAAAAGCATATGCATGTTATTCAAAATAACATTCAACATAAGACATTTAAGAGTCGTTCGCATTCTTAGCTTTCTTTAATTTCATTGATTTTTCATTTTTAGCAGTCATCAGCTTCATCCCATTGTAGATTGTTACAAATGAGAGCTTGCTGATTCAATAGGAGAGCCACTACATTCTCAGTCACATCTCACGGTAATCCTTATTCTACTGGTGTTGGCCTAGAAACATAAATCTGAATCATATCTCCTTCAGAATGGCCAACCATTTAGAGGACTAAATCTTCTTTCATGTCATTAGATTGAAGAAGGGACTGATTATTCTCGGAGTATTTTCCTAGAAAGAGATGAATTTCTACGTATTAGCTGCTAGAGCTTCTCCACCATGCACAAAACATCGATGCGTAGGAAAGGACTTGCCAAAATAAAGATTGAGTCCTCATTGATGTCACATTAAGCTGAAGTTTTGAAGTCTTTGAGTTGACCTGTCTTTTAAATCTAGATAAGCTTATCATGCATCTGCCTTTTTAATAACTTTTTTTTTTTTTTTGGGCAAAATTTTCCATTTTCCCTCTAGTTTACAAAAACCAACAATCAGGGTGTGAAAGACTTCACAATTGGATTTTGAAATCTTATAACACACAATTCAATTCATATGGCTAGCTCAATGTTTCCTTTTTTCAAATCAATTTACTGCTATTGCCGATCATATTGTTGGTCTAGACCTCTTAAATCATGAGCATCATATGGGTCACATTTTCATGCGATGGGCATTGAACATGGCCGAGCTTGGCTATGATCCTCTAATAAGTATGCATATGACCATTGCCACTATTGTAAATCATATTTTACCCAAAGTTGGTCTATATGATTGAATTCCAAAATCGCATACAATTTAATGTAATATTATAAATTACCCTGCACCTATCAATCATCTAGTTTGAATATCATTATTATAGAAGCATTAGTTTATGGGACTATATTTTATCATGCATTTAGCTTCTCAATACTCATACATTTTGAGAAACATGTCAAAGAATGAGAAAAATCATATGGTTTCGAGGAAAGTTAGAAAAAAAAAAAAAAAGAAAAGAAAGTGGAAGAGAGACGGAGAGGAACAATGGGCAAAACCCTGAAAATATAAACTTCTAGGAACTTGTGCAAGTTTAATGCTTAGAATGTTTATAGACTACAAATCATAGTTTCACTATGTAACAAAGATGTGACAACAAATAAGAATTCTTCTTGAAATTTGCACGTAATGCGCATTCAAAATTATCATACACAAATGGGCACATATAGACATACTTGCGTAGTTTCCCTTTACGAATAGCAACACAATATGCATAATATACTATACACCTTAATTTCATCGAAATACATGAACTATGGTAAGTGTTAGACTTCTTACAAATTCTCCTTGTCCATGAACCTTTTTTCACGTTTTAATCTACTAAATTGATGCACATTCATAACAGTAGTTGCAAGGAAGTGTAGGGCAGATCATAGGTGGTGTGAAGCTTGAGTAACCTGCCAAAAGTGTGAAGGTAAAAAAAATAAAACTCAAAATTAGGGACTTCATTTTTCACATTGCAGAGTAAGATATCAAAATAGGAGACTTCATTTTTTTCATTGCAGAGTGACTTGAAGAAGATTAAGCAAAGAAAACACAAAATTCGTGAGCAGCTATCAACCACAAACATAAATATTTCTATATGTTCCTTATTTGCTAGATTAGACCCACAAGAATCTTCTTGATTCCATGGTGATGCCCAAGATCATGTTGTTTGAAGGTTGCATGACAAAATTTGAACGAAAAGGACGGGCTTCCCTGAACTTAGTGGCTAGCTAGCTTGAGGGTTGTTATTACTCGTTTTATCGATTGATATCTCTGATATGCAACAAAATGTATGACCTTCTTAATGCACAGACACTCTCTCTCTCCCCAACTCCTTCTCTCATTATAAGAAAACAAATCATGGTAATAGAATCCAAATCTTTCTTTGACTATACATCTTCAAGTATTTAGCTTTTCCAATCTCACTTTCGAGAAACATGTCAAAGAATGAGCAAAATAATGTTTCCAGAAAAGATAATCAAAGGGAAAAAATGACACAAATGTTTCTTCATTTGAATATTTGCACCTTAATGCGCATTCACAATTGTAGTACAGGCATCCTTGAATATAGATTTTCTTTGCGAATAGTGATGCAATATGCATCATATGTTTTGCAAAATGCTGCCATCAACACACGTCTACAAGCTAGAGTATTGAGTTCTTGTAAATTGGCCTTGAGAACACATATTATTCGCATTATTTCGTAACAACACAACAATCCTTGCTCACACAGAAAGATTAGTATTAAACTTCATGGTCAAACTAGGTTGTAGTTAAATTTACCTTCCGTGGCATTTGTGGTAAGTCGTCGACATTTTTCACCTTCTGATGGCAAGAGAGTTCCTTGCATTTTATGCTTTATCTTCTGCTTCTTTGCATACTTCTCTTGGGAATTGTTGAGTGGTCAAAGTTTCTTCTTCTTCTTTCTCCTCCCCTTCACCAAGTTTTCCCTGATCACAAACAAGTTAATATAACGCAAGTATCTGTCAACAGCGCAAGTCATGGGATTGTCAAAAAAGAAAAGTTTCTTGGTCACCACATCTTGTGTTTGAATTTTTGATAAATTCCTACACAAATTTCACACGTGTCACTAGACTCACCACCACTTGATATTCTCATAGGAATCCATAGGAGCATATGTTCTACTTTTTTTTTTTGAACACACACTTAACACAACCTCTTACAAGAGGAAGTGCCAAGTGAAGTATATAAATTAACACACACCCAAAGCTATCCCAATGTGGGATAGGCTAGTCCCCTGACACCCTAGCATGATTACCATAACTGCAAGGTCTTTGTGTTGGTTTTTTTTTATGGAGTCTAGTTTGTATATGTGATCCGGACGATGACCCGACCCAAAGTAATGCTGTGTGATTTTTTAATGGAAATTTTTCTGAGACTTAGTCCATGGAGCGAAGGCTTGGGCCGATAGGCCCAAGCCATAGCACTCATGGACAAGCCTCGTGGGGGTTCGGGGGCAACGCCCCTGAGGAAAATATTTTGGACCTGTTATACAGTCCAGTGCGTAGGACATATAAACCCTGTTGTTTTGGTGATTAGGGTTAATCGTAGATTGTACAGCCGCTCTTTGTATTCAACTCTCTCAATAGTGAAATCCCTGCAGCTTCGTGGACGTAGGCAAATTACCGAATCACGTAAAATCTGTGTCTTGTTCTTTCTTGTTTCTTATTGCTTTATATTCTTGATTTGTTCTTCGATTGTGTATGTTTGTTAGTGGATTTAAATCGTGTTAAATCCCAACACTCTGGCCCAAAGAGTGGGTTTCCAGCCCAACATCGAAATGCCCCAGCATGACCCCGAAGGGCTTTTTCGTTTTTTTTGAACACACACTTAACACAACCTCTTCTAAGAGGAAGTGCCAAGTGGAGTATATAAATTAACACACACACCCAAAGCTATCCCGTTGTGGGTATGTTCTACTTGCTACCAAAGTATAAGGCTAAGTTCTTAAATTTAGATTTTAAATTTATAAATAAAAATTGAATTAGAAGAATAGGTTTTTTAGAACTTGAGGATGGCTAACATTAGCTTGAGGGGGTTTATTACAAGAAAGATGAAACTTTCATTGGTCGACGTTATTCAGTTAAATGTACAACATTCTGACGTCAAAACACACAGCTCAAGTTTTTGATTAGGGGTTTTTTGTTTTTAAGAACTTGATTAACAGCCCAAAATGAATATCTTTTAATGTCAACTCCAATAGACCTTTCTATCTTTTAAAGTTAACTCCAGGAGACCTTTCTCTAATGCCAAGAAAGATCCCATTTTTCATCTGCTGCTCCATTTTTCACAAGCTAATTTTCATTCTTAAGCAGTTGGCCAACAGAAAGACAAAGCAGAGATACTAGATTCCTTTGTGAATCAAGTTAATCTCCATTACTTCCCAACATACTATTCTTCAACCCTTCAAATAATTGCGATGCTATGCAAAAATGATGTCTAGAAGTCAAAATCTAGAGTTTGAAAACAAGGCAAATGATGAGAACTTAAAGCGTACTAGCATGAGCACATACCTCTTTGAAAACGTGTTGGACAGTGCTGTTAAGGTCTCCTTTCCAGAACCTTTCCAACCACCCTAATGAACTAATATCTTGCTTGGGTGTAAGTAGGAGCCCTGAAGAGAAGGTTTGCATCTTGGGGCAGTCTTCAAATTCCACTTTTTTTAAGAATGGCCATTCCAAAGCATGATTTCCCAGGTAGAAACTCTTGAGGTTTGGTAGATGTGCAAGTCGAAGAGTCTGTACATAAGGGAACATAACTTTTCCTCCAGAATCTTCTACTTGTTCTAGGACCTCTTCCACTAAATCACATTCTTCTACAATAAGCTCTCTCAAATAGTGTAGCATTGGGAGTAATTTGGATGGTGCAACTTGTAACAAATTGTTACATTCACGCACCGAAAGAAAACTTAATTGATTAAAGCAATCTATTGGAAGTTTGTTTTCCCATATCTTTTTCAGGTTATCTAGTCTCTGAAGAGTCAAGAACACCAGGGCGGGAAGTACAACCTGCCAATTTATGTTATAATAGCACATGAATGTTCATAGTTAAGACAAATACTATAAGCTTCAAGGAGGGAAAATGAACTAGAAATTCAGTTTTGCTTGATTAATATATAGGATAAGAAAAATCATCAACAGAAATCAAAGACTTTACCATATTGAAAAATCTATACTTTCTTCACCTCTCACATGGGCATTGTCAGTGTCATGTGGTGGGCTTGAGAAACAGGGAAGTAAAACAACTCAATGGCCCACCAAAGAAAAAATAAATAGGTAACTAGATTTTGGTAATAAAAAGTTTTCCTCCTAAATAGCCATATAACTTTTTGTATGCATGTGTCGGTATCAATTTTCAAATCAATTTCTCACTACTTTAGTTTGAATTTACTGCAATTAAGAAAAAATTAAATGATTATTTTTCACATACAGCTGGTGAGCAAAGCAGAGAATTAGGGACAACAATTAGTATCAGTTATGTGTCACATTTGGTATCCTGGAAATTTATTGTCCGGTGGAAGTGATAATATCAACATATATATATAAGAAATTTTCAACCAAGTCCCCCTTTGCATACATGCATTGTTTAGAAAAATGAGAGAGAGAGAGAGAGAGAGAGAGAGAGAGAACCTACTTTTTTGTTGAAAAATGGTTTCACAGTGCCTTCTTGATCTGTTTGCCCTTCTAACCTTTCCTCACTTGCTTCTTTTGACCTATTTGTGCTTGAACCAACAAATGTGTGCATCTTGGGACATTTTTCAATCTTCAATTCTACCAAAGATTGGAATTCTAAAGTACAATTCCCTTGGTAGAAGCTTGTGAGTTCAGGCATTCGACGAAGGGACAGGGAAAATAATTTAGGGAACACAATTGCATCAACGACCTCTCCATCTTCCACTCTTTCGATTGCTATTATCTCTTTCATCATATCACATTCTTCTATTTCCAACTCGTGGAGTTTAATAAGAAGTTTCGATGTGGTAAAAGAGAAAAGATATCTCATACAATTACATCCACGGATAGTCAGTTCATTGAGATTCTCGAAGCTACGAGATTCATGGCAGGCCTTGTTCCACCATGTACCCTTCAATTTTGGTAAACCCTGCAAACAAACAGTCCAAATCTTTGGTAGTGTAACTGAAGTTGCATTATCTCCTTCATATAGATCCTCCAACAAATGACATTCTGAAACAAACAATTCTTCTAAATTCTGTAACAACTGTCCCAAATTGGATGGAAAAATTGTGATTAGGTGTTCACAATTGTTTATTGACAGTTCTCTCAATCTGTTGAAGTTCTTGGCAGGAAGCAATTGTCTGTGCCATATCTCTTCCATGTCTAGTTTCTCGAGAGACAACCTCTCCAATGCTGGAAATACAACCTTCACAATTATATCATAGTGTCACATGAATCTTGAGCAATTAAAACAAATATTATAAATTTCAAGGAGACGATCATCTGGTGGGCTTGAGGAACACGGACATAAAACCAACCAGTGACTCAAACAAAGGAAAGAAGAAATAGATATTACTAATAAAAAGTTTTCCTCATATGAGTTATGAGAGATGACAAAAAATATTGTTGACTTCAATTCTATCTTAAGCTTTTTAGTAACACATTTTCATAGGGAGAAAATAAAGATAGCGAGGATAAGACAGCAAATTTCAGAATTGATATAAAGATTGTATTGGTGGTCACATACCTTTCTGTTGAATAGAGGTTCATGTGCCCGGATATAAGAACTGCTATCTGAAGCCAAACTATTTGTTTTGCAAAAAAATCTCACGAGGTTTGGTAGATTCTCAAGGTTCAACTCTTCCAACTTGTGTAAGACAATTTCATCCGCTTGTGCCGCTGCTCCTTCTGCATTGATTGCAAGTATCGCTTCCATATTGTCGCAACTATCTAGATTTAGGTATTCGAGCTGCCCAAGATCTCCTACTATTATATCTTGCTGAAAGAGGTATTTCATTTTGTGACAATTACGTACCTTTACTTGCCTTAGGCTAGAAAGCGGTGCTTGGCCAGTGGGATCCTCCCACAAATTTATTAACTCAGGTAAGTTGTCAAGCCACAACTCACGTAGTACAGAAAAAGATGTAGATGGGAGATGGCCATGGCATATCTGTCTCAAGTCTTGCATGCTTCGGAGGTCTAATATCTCCACCACTGGAAAAATAGAAGGTGGCATCGTTTCCGTGGTGTCAACTAGATATTCAATCTTACCACCACACCCATCAACCTTCAAACGCTTAAGATTTGGAAATGCATCGATTCTAAAATAATTGAGAACAGTCGCCACATCCTCCAATCCCTTTAGGATCAATGCTTCTACTCTTTTTAACATCATATTGACCCCACCACCTTCTTGAATAATACTTTGACATCTCGAGAGTTCCAAGGCCCTTGAATTATTCTCTACAGCCGACCATTGATACCTGCTACCTATAGCAATTTTATATTCAATCAATTGATTGATTTGATTCTTAGACAGAAAATTTTTAGGACATAACTCAACATCTGGTACTTGAATTTCTAAGGTTCTTAAGTAAGAAAGATGTTTCAACTCTGTAAGGCTTGCATTATTTCTTCCCATGTCTTGACCATCAACACTCCAGTCCTTAAAACTATTTCTCAGGTACAAGCATTACAATCGGGTCAAGCTTGCTATGACACCAGCTGGAATTAATTTCAAACCTGAACAATATGTCAAATCTAAGAGCCTTAAACGAATGAGTTGTCCGATTCCTCGCGGTAATTCCACAACTTCAGATCCACTAAAGCCGAGAATTTCTAGGTCCTTTAACTCTCCGATCACTGATGATATTTCTGGAAGCTTGCACCTTTCTAAGCATAATGTTTGAAGTTTCTTCAAGTATTTCATGGATGGTGGCATTGATGGAATATTCATGGAAGTCATGCCTAAAACTTTCAAGTTTTCCATCCCTTTAAAGAATTCACCCGAAATATTGACTTCAGGTAAAAAAAAGGTATTCGATAAGAACAAAATATCAAGTTTCGGACAAGAAGGGCTGTCAGAGAACTCTTTAATACGAGTTTCAAGTAATGAGATTGCAGTATGACGGCTGAGTGCATCATCTTTAGGCCATTCTACCAACATGGATCCTGCTCTTACCAAAAAATCATGCTCACCACTTGATGCCACCCATATAGCAAAATCTCTAATAACATCATGCATTCTACTATATTCAGGGCGATGACCATCCAATAATAAACAACGTGCTTTAAGGTCATCAACCATTGCTTTTGCCCTGTCTCTTGCTTCGATAACATTATTAACATTTCCAAACAACTTTAGGCCCGTTCCATATCTCACCAAACTTTCGAAAGGGATGTAAAAATCTTCTGGAAATAGATAACACCATAAGAAGAAATATTTGAGTTCTTCACTTTCCAAAAAGTTATAACTCCACTCTAGCCTCGAATAAACATATCTATTCATGTCTCTGATAGTTTTTGGCTCAGAATTCCCTAATTGGCGTAGTGCATCCCTCCACACCTCATAACTCTTACCCTTCAAAGCTGCTGCAACAGTGACGATCGTAATTGGCAAGCCTGCACACTCTTTAGCTACCTTATGCGCAATTGGATCCACATCTCGAGACTCAACAATATCACCAGCCCATTGCTTGAATAGAGTCCATGCATCTATTTCAGATAAGACTTCGATGTAAAAACTTTTCTGAGCATTCATCACAACGCATACATCTCTGTCTCGAGATGTCAAAACAATTTTGCAACCTTCATGAGCATTAGCGTGTGGAATTCCTACAGCCTCCAAATCAAGTACGGTCCACAAATCATCCAGGATTACGAGTATTTTCTTCTCTTTCCTTATTCTTTCCCATAAGCAACCCGCCCTAGCCGACTCACTTTCTACATCAAATGTTAATCCCAACTTGTCCGCAATTTCAACTTGAATTTTCCTTGTATCTGGTGTTTGGGACACCACTGCCATCACTACCTCATCGAAGAGGTGATGTTTCTCAGCAAGCTTTGCAACTTCTTTCACCAGGGTGGTCTTTCCAACACCCCCCATCCCATAAACTCCAATGATGTTAATCGGATCATCCTTCAGTGCTTCAATGATCTCCTCAAAATTTTGTCTTCTAGACTCAAAAACTTCCATCTCTCTCGGATATATGGACCCCAATTTTGGTGGAGGCGCGGGGTTTGAAACTCTGTCGAACCTGCCTTCGGATATCAATTTATCAACAGCCAAACTCTTCTCCTTGGCCACCTTGCTTACTTTGTAGCGCGCCTTCACGTCAGGGCACAACCCAACAAAGCACTTCTTGTTTCCCACGGCTTCATCTTGTAAAAACCTATTGGACTCTTGGCTGATTTGGTCCACGTTTGTAAGCCACGTCTGAACTTGTGGTAGGATGACTTGGAGATTCCTAACGTCCGCATCAACTCTTCCTTGGATTCCAACTCGAATGTCGTTCAGGTCCACATCAACTCGACTTCTGAGATTGTTGATGTTGCGCTGGTAATAAATTATATACCCAAACTGACGCCCAATTTGTACGGCCGTGTACTCTCCAATTGTTGCAACAATAGAACCTAGAAAACCCACAGCTGCATCCATTCTTTTTTGCTTTTTGATTTTTTTTCTCCCCCGAAGAAACAGACCCAAACAGATATAAGGAAAACCAGAGGGATTATATTAGAACAAAGAGTGATGTCAGAAGAAATTAAAGGAAAGAGTTTGGAAAAAGTACCTTTATGTGGTATAATATGCTTAAAAGAAGCTGATGGAATTAAGAACAAAAATCTCCACAAGTGAAATTCCACCGAGAACCCAAATAAGATACAGGAAATGAACTTTGAAACAAGCACAAGTGGGTACTGGAAACGCACACTCCTACACCCACAAAAGAGAGATAAATTAGAAGAATAACAGAGGAGCATGAGTCAAATGTCAGTTCACATCACATGGCTACTGGTTGTCCGCTTTATATCACAAGGATGATTGGATTGACCATAAAAAATTGGTTCGGGCCTGTTAGTATCAAATTCGGTTCATATTAATATTCCAATCTACTTATGTTTTTTTTTGCCCTCTCCGGTACCTAATATTGTCAGGAAAAAAAAAAGATATCAACAAAGATCTTGATATACTCAATGAGATTAGTTGATTCATCACCTAAGAGTTGTATAAATGTCCCCTCCATTTCGATAATGCATTTAAATCTTATTTTCTCTGATGGTTGATCATGAAAGTATCCGATCTTGTCTGAATTACAATCATTTTTTAAGAAACCATATAAGATATTTTTAATATTAGATGTTCCACTTTGAGCGAGCTGGTCATGCTCCAATGACTGAAGTAAAAAATAGAATATTTATTTTCCTATTCTGATCATAATTCTTTTCAAATTTATTTTAAAATCTCTCTAATATAAATAAAAATGATTACAAAATGTTTGAAGATACTCCTAAACCTATTTAGAGAGAGAACTAACACAACTACTTATGAGAACTTGAAAGCTTTCTATTATGTTATCCAAAAACAACAAACCATTAACATATTTAATGCAAAATAAATAAACAATATAAGAACCAACTATATCGGCGGATTGTGCAAAACCAAAGCGTACCTTTCTATGGTATTATACCCATAAATAAAGCTGAGACTGAAATATAGATTTTTTCGGATGGAATTGAGAACAAAGATTTGAAGTTCACAAATCACTGATCCGAGAGAAGCAGTTCACAAGCATACAGGAGGACTCGTAAACAAAAGAAAAAGGAGAGAATATTACAAGAACTGAACAGAGTGGAAGAGCATGGGTCCACACAATAGACAGTCTAATGAATATCACATTGGTACTGGGTCCCATCACAAAGATTATGTAGAGAGACCGTGTTAAAAGTGTGTTTAATAGACCGTGTTAAAAGTGTGTTTTTTAATCTAAATTCAGCATTTAAAATAAATATATTCAATATTTATTAATTAAACTCATTAGATAATTAAAATTTTAATATTTTAATATATTAAAGTACTCCTTAAAAATAGGCTACAAAATTAAGTAGAAGACCCCTTACAATATTTGAAAGTTGAATGAGCTTAGCAAATTCAAAATGTGTTCACAATTTTATTAAAACTCTAATTAATTTTCTTTCTAAAACTCCCGACATATCTATTCTCCTTACCGTCTTGATCATCTTCTTTCTTTCTTGTCTTCGTCTCTTATCTTCTGCAACACACAGACTGCAGACACATATGCACTACACACACATAATTACATACACACACATAATTACATATACACACAGAGTTTGGACACACATGCACACTGTGCACACACACATATAGACCACAGTTACACACACGACTGTAAACACACACATATAATCATTCACACAAATAGGCAAATATTTTTTTCAATTTGTTATTAATAAAATCTAATTTATTCTTTAATATTTTTTGATTATTTATTATTTATTGTATTATTCAATTTGTTATTATTCGATTAGATATAAAAATATTTTATAAATATTTTCAAATAAATAATGGAAGGGTAAAATTAAAAATTAATTTATTTTAGACGTCAGTTCTGTGTAATTAGTTCAATTCAGTACTTAAATTTCAGTGGGTACCAAATAATCTATAAATTTAAATTTTCAGATTTATCAATCACCATTTTATTATTAGACTTTTATAAAAAAAAAAATTGATACACTAAAATGTTATCATAACTTATATTTTCAGTACCAAACTTTTTCTTTTTATTTAATAAAAATAAGGCACATAAACTTTTAAAAAAGAAATAAAATAACAAAAAGAATGTGTTTTATTTTTAATAATGTATATAAACTAAAATTTCATATCACAAATTATACTGTGGGGCAATACTTCATTGGTTTTGGACAACAAATTCACGTGGTGGAAACATTTTTGGAAAAGAACAGTCAGTCTGATGAATATCACATGGGTACTGGGTCCCATCACATTGACTATATTCCACACGAGGCGGTACAAACAGTGATTGATGGACAGACAAGTGAAAGCTTGATCAATAATTCTTCTACTAAACAAAACATGTCCTCCACGATAAATCAAATCAATGATCACACCGGGTGCAAGGAAACTCACAGGACTTGATCATTCCCTTCTACCGATATGTACACCTTATTCAGCTCTTTCATTCCACTCTGATCTCCTTCGGCGCAGAACATTAGGTCTCCATTAGCCAAAACCCAAGCTGAAAAATTCGGGCTACTCAACAGCCAATCGCCACTACCTATCACCTACCAAACCCACCAGGACCATCACCGTCCACAATCCCATAGAACAGACAGAGCCCCAGAAAGAGAGACGAAAACCAAATAGGGCAGATCTCACACGTGCACGCGCCTATATAAAAGGACAAAAACAAAACAAAATGGAGGTACCCTCATCTTTTTAGTTTGTTCAATTAAAAAGTAGCACGTGTTAAATTTTATTATTATATTATATTATTAGTTATTACCCCTATTCCAAGACACTATTTAACTAGTAAAAAAATTGCAGATGTTTGTTCATACACAAAAGCAATATAAAACACAATTTTGATAATATGAGCTCATTAATATTTTTAAATTATTTTCACAAAATTTCTTCTAAAAACATGATTTTTTAAGAAATATCAACCTGCATAGCATACCCATCTTATATAATCCTATCATTATTTAAAAAAACACAACTTTAATTAATCACGTTCCCACTACTGTTAAAGTACTACATTAACATAATAATTCATCAAAAATATTGCACTTGACACAATAGAACGTACTCTTTTTTGAATTCAACCCCTAATTTATCTCCTCCTCTTTCCTGGGCATGTGTCTTTGCTTGAAGACAGTAAAAGATTGAAATCTGAGTTATGTATTTCTTACTATTGTCATGAACAAATATATACAGAGGTACACTCAATGTAAAGGAGAAAATAAAGCAGAGAATTCTGGAAAGAATCAAGGAGGAGAAAATAAAGGGAAGATACAAAATGTTGCCTAAATTAGTGGGATATACAGATTTCTTAATACTCCCCCTCAAGTTGGAGTGCGAGGATCATGAACACCCAACTTGCGAATTAGTCTGTGGAATGGAGTTGGTCCCAATGCTTTAGTGAAGACATCAACAAGTTCGTTCTTTGTATGGATGTAAGACAGACGAATGAGACCAACTTGAAGATAGAGATGGACATGCTTGAAAAATGGTTTTTTAAAGACATAAGGATATAATGAATTGACCATATTTTATAGGATATAATGAATTACGTTATATTAAAACATAACTCACTACCACAAGGGCCACCAACTTTACATATTCAATTTGTCCATGAATAGAACTAGAAATCAGATGTAGCCAATATTTGATAGAATTGTAGCTTACAATTTTGTGACTTTTTTAATCTACTACCACATGAAGCGAACCAAAAGACATTGTCACAACGCAAAATAGAAAATAATCCATCTGCCCAACATCATATCAAAACATACTTGGGGCACGTGAGGAGCATGGAACCTGCGAAGATATCAACAAAAAACTTGGTTGATAAATTTTTAGTCATACCCCACATAAATACCAACAACCAACCAGACATTAAAAACATAATTAATTGCAACAAAATAGAAATGAAATAACCTCACTTTCTATGATATAAAGTAAGAAATAAACCTCAATTAGTGGGCAACTCTTGTAAGTATTACTTTCTCTTTATCTTAACGTGTAAATACATACCATTGTGGAATCGAGGAACCCATAGAATTGTCATAAAACAATCCAATAGCTAATGTAACAAATGTGCACTGTCCTAATGAACCATCAAAAGAACATAAAATCTTTTCATACCTGTTGTATAAGTGGAAATACATACCATTGTCAGCTATCTCTATCCCTCATTCATTGGATGGTTAGGATAGACAACTTCAAATAATGACAATATGTCAGGCATTTTAACATAAAGGTGATGTGCGTTATCAAGGAAATAAGTGGGGGCGACAGTTGGCTATTTTGGCAGTGGTAGTGACGAATGTAAGGGCTGTGG